GGTTTGCAAACTCATGATATTTTGATGCAGTCATTGCTTTTCATTTATGAGCTGAACCACGAAACTTACCCTTATCTACTATTGGTTTCCCAGTGGTACAGTTTATATAGAAAATGAGAATAAATGCTGATTATTCTTTTATGTACTTACTTTCAAAATAATGAGTTAGTTCCCTGGTATCATGCAACAGTGACCAATTTACCGTGTGTGTGTATGTTTTGTTTTGTTTTTTAATTGTTAAGATATTCCTATGCCAAATACATCATGATAGAAGTTGTTAGTCATCTTGGTAATTAAAAACTTTTAGGATAACTTACAGTCATGGATTGTGACCTTCCAGGGTTCTGAGTGTTGAAAATGACTTTTTTCCAATCTTAAAAATATCACAACATCTTTGATGTGACTTGGGCAGGGAGTGGGTAAGTTAAGGTTGATTTATGCTGGGCCTAATCTCCAGCCACACTTGTGGCTGCCTAGGAGCATTGATGACATTCATTTGAATCAGCATGTTTGGTGATGATGCCGAGTCACTAGGACTTTGGCCCAGATCTTGATGTGCAGACCCCAGGCTGTTCCATCGCTCTAATTTAAACCGTTTCTCCTTCAGGAGGTGTTGGAATTGGCCTTCTCCATCCTGTATGACCCTGATGAGACCTTAAACTTCATTGCACCTAATAAATATGAGGTGAGCAGTGTGATGCTACCTTGGACAACAGAGCCATTTCTGTAACTCTTTCGTTGGTGCCAGGAATGAACAGATCAGGAACGTCCCCTGCGGTGGGTGGCTGCAGTGTATCATGAAGGCTGTAGAATGCCAAGGATCTGTCACACTCTGGATTGTTTATCCGTGAGCTGGGCTCTCCACATTACTCTTCAGCAGCAGCCGTAGGTTGTCATTACAAAGACAAGGTCAACTAGGAATGACTCATTTACTTGGGACTAGGAAAATTCTCCCCTTTTCAGTTTCTCTGTGGTCAACTACCCAAGAGAACTTGACAGATCCTTCCTCCCAGGGGCTTCTGGTCACATGTTGTAGTGGATCCAGTGTGGACTTTGAAGCCAGATGGAACTGGTCCTTCTGACAAGGGCCCTGTAGTTCCATCTCCAGCACTGGAAGATACTAGATATTAAATGAGTGGTTGCATTTGAGACCCTAGTGCCTGGTGAGCTCTGAGAGCCATCACTGGGAACTAGAAGTAGGGCTTATGAAAGAGGAGACACTTGGGCAGGGCCTGAGCTGCTGCTAGTGGAATTTTATTGGGAGGAAATGAAGAACAAGCAAGTGGGGAACCAGGCAAGCAACGGTGTGGAAAAAGGAAAATGGCAGCAGAGGAAGCAGAAAGAGTTAGGGAGCAGTGGGATCAGAAGGCTTCCTGGTTACCCCCTCTTAGCATGAGACGCACCAGTTCCATTTCTTTAGTATTTACTCTTTAATATGTATTGACTTGATTGATTTTAATTTACTTTTTTTTTGGTGGCAGGGGAAACAAAATTGAGATCCTGCAATGACTCCTGTTTGTGTCTTGCTTCTTTTCACCTAATACATATTTCCCTTCTCTCGCTTCTGATTTTGGGGTAACTTCAGGTAGATGATGCCCCAGTACTCAGATCTCATTTTGCTGTATTCATTCATTGCATTTTTAGGTTCTATTTCATATTATTTTAAGGAGTTGTAATATAAAACCCCTTATAAAAACCAGATATCTTGAGAAAGTGAAGGATCACCTCCCAATTTATCTTTGCTATCATTCCAAATCAGTTTTGCCTATATTGATTAGTTCCAAAAGGAACTGTTGTGAGCCCCATCAGAATAGAGACCTTGGCAGGATCTCCTGCTGACCGGGGGTCACGATGTGACATTTTGCAACTTGCTCCCCACAGTACTGCATCTGGATTGATGGCCTCAGTGCCCTTCTGGGGAAGGACATGTCCAGCGAGCTGACCAAGAGTGACCTGGACACCCTGCTGAGCATGGAGATGAAGCTGCGGCTCCTGGACTTGGAGAACATCCAGATTCCCGAAGCCCCACCCCCCATCCCCAAGGAGCCCAGCAGCTATGACTTTGTCTATCACTATGGCTGAGCCTGGAGCCAGAAACGACGGTACCCAGGAGAAGGGATTTTGGGCCCAGGAGAAACGCTTAAAGTCTGGTGCCTTGTCTTTTGCTTGTACAGAATCTGTAGTGATTTTGGTGGCCAGTAAATGCCAGCCATTTCTCAAACCCACCTCGGACCACCCAGAGTTTCCTCTTGGTCCCTGTCTACTAAGAGTCATGAAGGCAGGGTGCTCTGCCCACTCCATCACCATGAAGCCTGGGATTGGGCCACGAGGAACAAACAGCAGATGCCCTTGCCTTCCAGTCCAAGAAATTGCTTCTTGAAATGGATTTAACAACAGCCACTCACCTTTTCCTCCTGAACCTGCTCTCTGATCAGCTGAATCCCCACGTAAGCAAGAGCTGGCCCAAGAAAGGCTGCCTGCAGAGGACAGGTATGCTTGGCGTGTTGAGAGCCTTGGAGTGACTGCCTGTATCTCAGATCTGAGTACAGGCCTGGGGCCTTTGCTTTTGTCTTTTTTGATGAGGGCTCACTCCAGCTTCATATGGTGCCAAGATGTTGCTGCTTCTGAGGTTGGCTCTAACATCTCTGGTCTTTAGAGCCACCAGATCTCTATGGCCCATACAGATATCAGAGCAGATGGAAATTTTTCCCTACAAGCGCTCAGTCTCATCCTGACAAGTCAAAGACCTCCAGGCCAAGTCCTGCCCTCTTAAGTCTCCAGGAACGCTGCAGGGAAAACCCAGCTGAGGCCTGGGCCTAGACTGTGGTTAGGTCACTAGATTCTATCCCTCTCCCCCTACATTAATACCTTTTCCTTCCTCAGAGAGAAATCTCCCACCTAACCTGAATTGTAGCCCACTCCAGTTTGCTTTCCTTTGGCCTTCCAGACCCCAGGAAGTTTGCCTTTCCTTCTTAGCGCTATGGTTTCTGCCATTGGCCATGATTTCAGGGAGCTGGCTGAGGCCAGCTGAGGCCACACCTGTGCCAGTGGGGCTTCCCTGGTGCTGAAGCACTTGTAAACCACACACACAGCCTCTCTCCCTGGACATACGTTAGCACATTGGCATTCAGTATTGGTGGCCTGGCATGGTAGGTACTACCCAATGAAGAGTGTACTATATATTTTCATTACTATAGGCCATACTTATACAGACATGTATATATATTTATATAAGATCTACCTATCTTAGGATGGAACCTTGGGGAAAAATAAAATTGAGGGGAAGTAAAAAGTATGTAACGCTTCCAGTTGTGAGCCAAGATTGTAACCAGAGAGCAGCCAGGAGCTTCCTGTCAGTAACCATGTTTTCAATAAATACTCTTTCATGTACAAACTGTGGTTCCTGTTAACAGCTGTTTGTACTTGCCCCCTGCCCAATGGTGAAGATTTCACCTTGACAAGACTTGATCTCAGTGTGTCCGGGAGACTCTGGAGAGCTCCAGCTGGAGCCCTTAGTCACCTTCCAAGAGTCCCTTCCTTCTTATCATTCGCTCCTCCCACACATACATACACACACACACACACACACACACAGACACACACCTGCTGATTAACAGTGTTCACAGATTGCTGCACTGGGACAAAGCGTTTTCTGCTCAACCCTGCCGGGTACAGCAGGGTAAGGCATACTGTACACCCCCATGAACACATCCTCCCTCTTCTCCCTGCCAGGGACACAGCCAGGGAACAGCTCGAGTACTTGTGCCTTACAAAGAAGACATGCTCTTTACCCTGTGTGTTGCCTGTGCTTAGTGCCCAGCCTTCCAGCTGGTGTTTTAGGCTGTTGCTCCAAACCTTGGCCTTGGTAGCTGGGAGACTTGAATGAGGGTGGTGATGAAAATAGATACTTTCTCTTGCCCCTAAGAGAGAAGGGTGTGAGGACAAGCTATTTCAAAAGGCATAGAAAATGTATGCAATACAAGCCTTGAGGACTGAATAAAGCCAAGACCTTGGGCAGTGATGGGTACCATTGTAGGTGCTTGGTAAGCACTGAATGAACTATGCCTGCATGATGCCAGCTGGCGGCGGTGACAGCAGCAGTTTGCACAAAACACTTACACTCTGGCCTTGAGCCTTCTGTTCAGAGAGGCCAGGGATCCCAGCTGAGTCACTCGTAAGGAGCCATGTTTGCAGCTGGTCTTACTGCCGGAGAGCCCAGGAGGCGGCTAGAGGAGGGCAAAAGGCACAAACCTGGGTCTGAATGTGCAACCCTAGCTTGCCCTGGCCCAGTGTTCTCCTTGACTGCAAATGCTGCCCTTTTAATCCGTCCCGCAAGATGAAGAAAATACGAACTCCCTAGGCTGGCATTTTGGGGCCACTGCAACCTGCCTCTTGACTACTTTAACCACCACAGTTATAAACAACCTGAGTCCCAGGCGCGGCTGGAGGCTTCTCACCCTCTTTTAGGATTCTGCCATTTCCTCTTTCTGGGATGCCCTCCCCCTACTCAACCTATTGAAGTTGAGATAATTCTTAGAAAGTTTCATACAGAAAATATTTCACAAATGTTTCGTATTACTTCTGGATCGCCTAAGTTTTAAGTTGTAACGGCCCCAGCCGTTACAACTTAAACTCCCAGAAGAAAAAGCCCATGAGATACTTATCTTCGTGGTTCATTCCATGGTTGCCTAGCACTAGACTGGACATAAGAAAAACAATTTGTTCAGTAAAAGTAAACAAGTGACCATTTTTTGGATGCCCACTGTATGCAGAACACTAGCAGGTACCGGAGTTCCAAAGCAAGCCCCTGATTGAGCGCAGGAGAGACGCAATCACACTGCTGTGCTCTGAGCCTGAGGGATTCCGCGGAGGACAAAACTGCGCTGTACCGCAGAAGGACCCGACCACCTCAGAACCGGACCACAGCAGACGCCCCGCCCCTGTGCTGCCCCTCCTCGCCCCCGTGCTGCCTTTTCGCCCCGGCTCCGCCCAGCCCCTGGGTAGCTTCCGGCGGAAGTTACCGCCCCTGCCGCGGTTCGGCGGTGGCATCCGGCCTCGCACTTCCGGTGGGAAGATTCCGGCCGGGAGTTCACCAGGCCGAGGTGAGTGGGTGCGCGGCAGGCCTCCCGGCGCACTCCCAGGGGCTGGGGGTCGGGGGCTGGAGACGGGAAGCGGGCTCCCCGCCCGGGCTCTGCGCGGGTTGGCATGGGGCACGCCACGCCCCTGCCCCTCCCCGGGCCTTAGTTTCGCCGTCTGTGGAGGGGGCAGGGGTCTCCAAGCGCTCTCCTGCCGTGCTTCTGCCCGACGCCGACTCATCTGGTATTTCTTGAGCACGTGCGACGTGCTGGGGTGCGGGACCCAGGCCGGAATCGGACACGGCTCTGCCCTCTGAGAGGCTGCTTCCCGCGGTGGGATTGGGGCGGGCAGTAAACACGTGAGCAAACAAGGAAACGTCAGAGGTGGGAAGTGCCACGAGGATTGGGAGGGGTGGGGCATTGGGGAAAGTATTCAGCCCAGCGGAGGTCTGCGGAAGTGTACTGAAGACATAAAGAACAGCAAGTAAAGAAATACGCAGGCTTGATGTGTTTGACACGTGGCAGGGGGCCGCTGTGGCGGGTGCTGGGGCCAGTGGCAGAAGAATGAGGTTGCAGAGGCCTTCCTTGTGGACCAGGCTGAGGAGCTGGGCTTAGCCTTAGGGCATGGTCTATTCTGTGTGCTTAGGCCATCTCTCTGGCTGCTTTATAGTTTCCAGGCCTTAGAGGCGAAAGTGGAAACAGGGAGACCAGCTAGACGAGTGGCAGTCAGCAGACTGTGGTAGTGGGAATGGAGAGGAAGAGAAGTAGAGGGGTCAAGAAGTGTATTGAAGGTGGAACTGACAGGGCAGGATTTGAGAAATGACGGAAATAAGTGGCCAAAGATGATTTCATCATAGATTTTTGGTTTTGGCTTAAGTGACCGAGTGTATTATGCTGGCATTTACTAAATGACTCTGGGATAGATTGGGAGCGTGAGAAATAATTATGAAATCTTCTTAGGGCATCTTAAGTTTTAGATATTTGGAGTGCAGCTACCAAATAGGCAGTTAGATAATACTAGCCTGATGCAGAAAAGGTCAGGGCTGATGTAAAGAATTTAGAAATCATTGGCAAGTGGATTGGGTAGGATAAGATTATATAGGGTAAGATTTAAGAGAGAAGAGAAGCCAGGTTCCAAGCTTTAGGCACCCAATTTTTATAGATTGAGTTGACAAGAAGGTGCCAGCAAAAAAGGCCAAGAAAGAGTCCAGAAAAGCAGAAGAAAAACCAGGAGAGTGTGGTATTGTAGCACCTAAGAGAAGATTTTTTCTAGGAGAAGGAAGTGATCCATTGTGTAAGATAAGAATAGAGACTAAGCCGGTGGGCGCGGTGGCTCACGCTTGTAATTGCAGCACTTTGGGAGGCCAAGGTGAGTGGATCACCTGAGGTCGGGAGTTCAAGACCAGCCTGACCAACATGGAGAAACCCCGTCTCCACTAAAAATACAAAATTAGCCAGGCATGGTGGCACATGCCTGTAATCCCAGCTACTCAGGAGACTGAGGCAGGCGAATCACTTGAACCTGGGAGGTGGAGGTTGTGGTGAGCTGAGATCGTGCCATTGCACTCCAGCCTGGGCAACAAAGAATGAAACTCCATCTCAAAAAAAAAAAAGAATAGAGACTAAGCCTTTGAAGGGGCAGCAGAGAGGAGGGTGTGGTGACTCAGTGGAGCAGTAGAGATGGGCTGAAGTGAGGGCAGGGAGTGCATGAGTGGGGCTGGCAGTGCGAGGCCTTCTGGGGAAGTTTCACTCTTAAGGGGACCAGGAGGGGAGTAAGCCTCTATCATGAGCCAGCATTTAATGCTGTACCTGATGCCACTTTACAGTTGGAGAAACTGAGTCCAGTGGTCAAGTAACTTAGGGTCACAGGGACACCAGGATTTGATTATCAGTCTCTAACTCCAAAGCCCACACTCTTAAGCGCTAAACCATGCTGCCCAAGTTACAGTTAGGAAGATTGAGGGAAGCAGGTGGGACAGTGATGCACCAGCCAGCCTTACCTTGATGTGACTGCTGCCTCCAGCTAAGCTGCTCTCTGTGGAAAGTGGGGCAGAATATGGACTTTGTTTCCTGAGCAAATGAGATTTCAAAAAGAGTATTTACTCCTTTAAATCTGGTTTCCCTTATAAAATAAGGGTGGGGACCTTTTCAGTTTCATGTCTGTGTCTCCAGTGGTAGGCCTACAGGAGCGCTTAATAAATGCCCTTTAAGTGCCTAGATGATCTCCAAGGACCCTTCTAGCTGAGATTGGGCTTTGTGTTTGTGCACAGGTGACCTTCTGAATCCCAGTAAGAAAACGAGTTAACTCTGAGACGTGCTTCTTGTAGGCGGGGTAGCCATAGGGACTTCTTGGAGGCAAGGGACCTGGGCCAGGTCTGTGAAGGAAAGTCAGCATTGAACCTCTTTTTTATTACAGATATTTTGTAACAGTCCCTTTTATTACCCTAAAATGAAACAGATGATTAATAAAAACAGCCTACACATAATTTTTGAAAAATCAACAATGCGACCGGGCATGGTGGCTCACGCCTGTAATCCCAGCACTTTGGGAGGCCAAGGTGGGCGGATCTCCTGAGGTTGGGAGTTCGAGACCAGCCTGACCAACATGGAGAAACCCCGTCTCTACTAAAGATATAAAAAATTAGCTGGGCGTGGTGGCGCATGCCTGTAATTCCAGCTGCTTGGGAGCCTGAGGCAGGAGAATGTCTTGAACCTGGGAGGCGGGGATTGCAGTGAGCCGAGATTGCACCATTGCACTCCAGCCTGGGCTTCAAGAGCAAAACTTCGTCTCAAAGAAAAAAAATAGTAAAATAAAATAAAAATAAATCAACAAAGGCCTATGAAAAAGGAAAGTAATTGATAGTAAAACAAAGTAAGTTTCAGTATGTAAGTTCCTGGGCACAATAATGCTGGAAGTCGCAGTGAAGCTGTCCCTTCTGTGTGGACCCTCTAGGAGTGTGATTTCCACAGACGCAGACTGACACAGTCATGTTGTGTCACAACTCAAAAACCACTAGTGCCATTGCCGTAGATGATGTGGTTTTTCCAGAATGGGAACTTTGGTGCCATTTTGAGACCAATTTTGACCATTTTCAGTCTCCTTTCATTGTACATAGGCATCGTATTCTTGGAAATGTTAGTTCACAGCAGAACCATGGAAACACTGCCCTGTGTTTACATGTAAACAGTTACTTTCTAGATTCAGCTGATTATAAGCTAATCTTTCACCTATATGAATGTCAAAGTCATGCGGGATGCAGAGCAGTAATTGGCTATGTGGACTGCCCCTTCTTTATCCCTGCTCACTGAATGCCAGGAGCATATCCCCAAAATACCACCACAGGTTTCCAAAGCTACTCTGAAGACAACTGTAGCCCTGGAGATTCATTTGGACACAGCCAGCTCCCTGTTTGCCCCGGAGTGGGGAAATAGTAACATGGGTTCCAGAGTGCAGAACAGAATGTAATGGCTCCCTTCGGAAATGGTGGGGTGGGAGATGGAGAGTGTTTCTGATCTTGAAGCCTAGGAAGGCTTCAAGAAGAAGGTGGCGTTTCAATAGGATGGGAATGTCTCAGAGGAGGAGCTGTGGTTGGGGGCACACAGATGAAGCAGCAGGTATCACATAACGCTGGACCTGAGGCTCCTCCAGGCGCAGACAGGTCTACCTGGCATGCTCCGGGCAGTCATCTGGGTTGGCTGGATTGACAGGGAGGCTAGGAGTGGTTTCATTTGGCAAGACCATAAGGCAGGCACCGCTTCCAGGCAGTAGTGGTTAGAGCCTGGTCTTAGAGTGTTCCAACTGTTAGAGTGGTTTGCTTCTCCACTTTTAACCCCTAAAGACCAGACCAGTTCCCTGAAAATCGCATGCCTGCTCTCTGTCAGTCATCAAACCAAACGGAGAACTTAAAGTATGCCAGGTGTGCATAAGGCCAGTGTGGACACAGTGTTCCCTATCTTTGTGCCTCTCGTAGTCTCTCAGTGGACACAGACATTACTCAAATCACACCCTGCACAAGTGCTATGAAGGAGGAGGAGGAGAGCCGTGAAAGCCACCTGTATCTCAGGGGACTGATGAAGGGGATGGGGGGAGGGTCCCTGAAGAAGTGACCTCTGAGCTGAAGATAGGTAGGATGGATGAAGGACTGAAGGGTGGGTGCAGTGTTCGTTCAGTTGCTTGGACAACGGGAAGAAAGCTGGTGTGTTTGAGGAGCTGAAAGGCACCCAGTGGGGCCAGGTCCTGGAGAGCCTGTGGCTGAGACTGGGAAGACCAGCAGGGCCAAATCAGGCCATGGGATCCCAAAGAAGGGTCCTGGTCTTTATGAGAAAAGCACTGGAAACTGCTGAAGGGTTTTAAGCAGTGGCCCGACATGATCAGATTTGTGTTTTAAAAGGTCACTTTGGTGGCAGTTCATGGAGATTTACTTGAGGTGACAAGAGAGCAGACATGGCATGGGTCTCTGGGAGTGCCTTGTGCCATTGTGGGCAGCCCCTCCGGAGCCCTGAGTCACGCAGCCTTCAGAGGCACCCATGGCTACGAGAAGCGCAGTCTCTGCCCAAGGCTCCAAAGCTGCCCTTTTTCCCCAGCAGCAGACCTCGGGACCTGTGAGCGTTGCATCCAGTTAACCATGGGAAGGGTCAGCACCAGCCACCAGCCCCTTAGGTGAGGACTCTGCCTGGGGCTCCGCTGATGGTTCCAAATCATGGAGCTGCAGAGAGCTCCTCCAAGGAACGTTTCACCAAGGAGACGTTCTTGGTGAAAGCTGTGGTCCAGCTGCACCGGCTCTTCCCGCACATTGTCTTCAAGAAAGGTGCCTGCCCCCGCTGACTCAGGAGCTCGGGTGCTGCAGCTGCCACGAATGGGGAGGTGGGCCCTCGATGTGGCCTTTGTGTGGAAGGCGGTATTGACGCTGGGGCTGGTGCTTCTCTACTACTGCTTCTCCATCGGCATCACCTTCTACAACAAATGGCTGACAAAGGTACCGGGAGGCCTTGCTGGGGCAGGGCGCTGGGATGAAGGTGGCTGGAGCCGTGGCTATAGTGCCCTTCACGTTTAACAGGAAGGCACAAGCTTCAGCCAGTCTAACTGGAAGCCAGTTACAGCTGGGCTGGAACAGGGCCCTCCAAGCCCGCCATGCCGGGGTTCCCCTTCAATGTTTGGATCCAGGGAAACCGAGGAGAGTGGGAGGTGTGAAGGGATGAGCTGGGGAAACGGGCTCAAGCAGCAACTGTTTACCCCAGTAGAGAAGTATTTCAATATTTTAATAAGTGATACAACGTAGTGGGCCGCAGTGGCTCTCACCTGAGAATGGGCTGTGAGGAGGGCTGGGCAGGTAGCTCACAGGTATGTTGAACTGGTGGAGACAGCACCAGGCTAGAATTGAGCCCCTTGGCTGCCACTTGTCTTTGTGACCTAGGAGTCTGTCATTCCAAGCGATGATACTGTACCTAAGGGCCCTTCACACATAGCAAGGTCCTCATGAACCACCAAATGAACCCCACTCCAGCAGAGGGGCGAAGAGGAAGAGGGAGCTGTTGGGGGGCAGGCTGTCTAAACCGAGCCGGGGTGTCTGCTTTGGGCTCCGTACAGAGCTTCCATTTCCCCCTCTTCATGACGATGCTGCACCTGGCCGTGATCTTCCTCTTCTCCGCCCTGTCCAGGGCGCTGGTTCAGTGCTCCAGCCACAGGGCCCGTGTGGTGCTGAGCTGGGCCGACTACCTCAGAAGAGTGGCTCCCACAGGTAGGTGGGGTACCTCGGTGAGGGCAGGGCAGGAAGAGGGGCTGGGGAACCATAGGATGAGAACAAGAGAGACACCCGCGTGTCTGGAAGCCGAGTCCGTCCCCTCTTCCTGCACTGTTCCTCCTCTGCCCTCTTGACCTGGCCTCCCTCCACCCACGCTGCTGCCTCTTGCACACTGCGTGCCTTCCCACTGCCCCACCGCACACCCACAAAACCCCTGCTGCACCCACGTCCCCACAGCTCCCTCACCTGGCAGCAGACACCGAGCCTGGAGTGTGGCCTCGGGCCTGGAGATGAGTGGTGAGCAGTTAGGGTCCCTGCCCTCGCAGGGCTGTGACACGGACATGGAGGGCACTACGGAGCCCAGGGAGGGGGACCGACCCCAGGCCGGGGCCCATGGCTGGTGGAGGAAGATTTCCTAGGCCAGGTGCTGAGTAGGCCGAGGGCTGAAGGATGCATGGGACTGATTGGCCCTGGGAGGAGGGGCCCTTGTGGCCAGAGGGAGATTTAGTGCCAGCTGTGGAGTCTGGAAGGGAACTCAAAGTGTTTCAGGATGCTGAGAACCCGGTGCTGGTCAGAGGAAGTGGGAGAAATGAGAACTGAGAGGGTGGGTGGGGCTCACATCCTGGAGGCCGGGTTCCCCTTGGAGGAGTTGGTGTTCCATCCTGAGGAAAAAAGGGTTTCCAGTAAGGGATCAACCAGATCGGGTTAATACCTCTGCTCAGGGGCCAGCCGGAGTGTTTGTACAAACTACGCTGGCCTAGCCAGTTGGAATGGGCCCAGCCCTAGTGCTAGAGCAGCCCCCCACCGCTTTGGGGCTGGGTATTAGCCCTTTAGTTGCTGGTGGAAAAAAAGGCCTGAGGGCCCCAGAGGAGGCCCCGGGATGGTTCAGAAGTGGGGGACACTCAGGTGCCTCAGGGTGCCAGCCCACCCCAGCAGAGTGTGGACCTCCCACACCGTCCTGTGGGTGCCTTTGTCTCCACAGCTCTGGCCACGGCGCTTGACGTGGGCTTGTCCAACTGGAGCTTCCTCTATGTCACCGTCTCTCTGTGAGTACCGGCCATGCTCTGCTGCCTCCCTTCAGGCTCAAGCTCTCTGTCTGTCCAGCGGGCTGTCTGCACACCCGGCTGCCAGGCCAGCCACTCCATTACTCTCTGGGACCAGCCCTTGCTCTCTCAGCCTCTCTCTGGCACCCAGCAGCTCTCCGGGAATTCACCAGCCTCTTCTGTAAGCCCAGCGCAGAGGGGATGCTGTGCCCACCTGCCAGGCAGCATGGGGAAGCCAGGGAGCTCACCCAGAACCCCATCATCAGAGTAAGGGAGGGCAGGCCGCAAGGCCATAGACAGGCAGCCACTGGTGGGTGGTACACGCAGTCGCAGCAGAGCCCTGTGTGGCTTGGGGACTGCACAAGAGTTTCTTCTTCCCTCTGATGTTTCGCTTCAGAGAGCACAATTTCTGCCTCCTCATCCTCCCACTCCTCATCCTCCCACTCCTCGTCCTCCCACTCCTCGTCCTCCCACTCATCCTCCCACTCCTCATCCTCCCACTCCTCATCCTCCCACTCATCCTCCCACTCCTCATCCTCCCACTCCTCATCCTCCCACTCCTCATCCTCCCACTTCTCATCCTCCCACTTCTCATCCTCCCACTTCTCATCCTCCCACTTCTCATCCTCCCACTTCTCATCCTTCCTTCCCGCTCCTGCTCTGCTGAGGGTCAGGTAAAGAACAGGACTCAGGGAGCTCAGCGTCAGACCTGCAACCTCTTTTCCCTGGTGATAACCAGAGGCCCCTTAGTCAGAGATTCCTTCTGGTTAAAGGTCGCTTATCAGCTCAGATGACTTAGCCCAGCTCTGTTTGGTCATTTTGCTCAGTGATTTGTGCTCCTGCTCCTTTCTTGGTGATGGGTCTGAGCCCTGGGCTCCATCAGTGCATTGTGGGTAATTTTGCTTCCAGGTACACAATGACCAAATCCTCAGCTGTCCTCTTCATCTTGATCTTCTCTCTGATCTTCAAGCTGGAGGAGCTGGTGAGGGCCCAGTGTCTCTTTTGTCCCTCCTGCCCCCACAGATGCTAAGAATAAAGCAGGAGTCCGAGCAGTGACTTGTCCCGCTGTGTGACAGAAGAGATAAGCCCAGTCCAGGTGGCAGTAGATCGCTTTCTGAGAAGGGACCTAGACATGGGCAATATTCGGAGTATTTAGAAACCAGTGTGGCAGGGTAATGACCAAAGGTGAAAGCACTGCAGGATGCGGGTCCCGGCAGAGCCTGGTCTAGGAAGCTCCCTGCTGTGGGAGGCAATAGCCGTGTGTTAGGCCCAGAGGGGGAGGTGGGACCTCTTGGGGGCCTAGGACAGCCGTCAGTGTGGCAGAGCAGGCAGGGCTGTTGGCATACCAGCTGACCGTCAGCCCTGCATGCTGACATTAGTGGGCAAGGACTGTCCAGGACCCCCTGGGGTAGAGCTGGAGGGTGGGAGGATTTCCTGCCCCAAGGGCAGCCAAGATGGCTGCTGACCCCAGGCTCCAAATGTGACGAACCGTTGACCCTCAAGACCCCCGAGTTAGCTGCCACTGCTCCCCATCCTACCAGCGTGCAGCACTGGTCCTGGTGGTCCTCCTCATCGCCGGGGGTCTCTTCATGTTCACCTACAAGTCCACACAGTTCAACGTGGAGGGCTTTGCCTTGGTGCTGGGGGCCTCATTCATCGGTGGCATTCGCTGGACCCTCACCCAGATGCTCCTGCAGAAGGCTGAACTTGGTGAGCACATGCCACTCACCCTCCAGAGAGAGGAACCGCAGCACAGGCAGGGCGGAGGCAGGGCAGGGCCAGGCCAGACCTGATGGTAACCGTCCCCCGCCCTGCAGGCCTCCAGAATCCCATCGACACCATGTTCCACCTGCAGCCACTCATGTTCCTGGGGCTCTTCCCTCTCTTTGCTGTATTTGAAGGTACGTTGGGCCTTCCCTCTCGAGGGCACCTCAGTGCAGCAGACCACAGATCCCTGCCCTGAGCCCAGCACAGTGGGAGCTGCAGAGATTATTGAGATCAAAGATGCAGTCCCTCCCCGGAAGCGCATGGTTTGGGGGACGGCCAGACGTAAACAAAATGGCTGGAGTCCAGCATGATAAATGCTACAGAGAAAGCACATATAAAATCCAGGGAACAGTAACAACAGTAAGTGTGTACAGAGCCCTGAAAGTGCACCAGGGCTGTTCTGATCTTTTTAAACATGCGAACTTATTTCATCCTTCCAAAAACCCTGTGTGGCAGTACTATTATTCCCCATTTTGCAGGTAAAACAAAGTGAGGCACAGAGAAGTAAAGATAACTTGCCCAACGTCCCATAGCTCATAAATGAGCCAGAATTTGAAGCCAGCAGCCTGGCTCCAAGTGTTCCAGCCCTCCTGTTAACCACCCTATCCTATCCTGCCTCTAAGGAGTGGGGAATCAGGGATGGTTCCAAGATGCTGGAGTAATCAAGCAAGTCAGAAAGGCTTTCCTGGCCGTGGTTTTGGAGGGTGAGTGGGATTGTGGCAGGCTGCAGGGAGCAAGGCATCTGGGAAGTGGGAATAGGAGGTTCAGCCATGTCCAGGCATATAACATTGGAATGTGTGTTCAGGGAGTGTGGACCGTGCGGGATCGGCAGAGGGTGGGCTTCCAGAGCTGGGGGCTGAAGGCCAGGAGCCAGCACACAGGAGCCTGGGGACATGGTCAGTTGTTCCTCCTCTGTCGTTGTCCAAGAAAGAGGAGAGCCCTGGAGAGTTGTGTAGGCTGGGAGGTGTGGCGCCACCTGCCTTTCTTTGATGTTTTGGGATTAGCCTTTGTCCCCTTTCTGTTTATCCTTCCTCCCAGAGTCCCCTCTGTAATACCTTCAGGGTCATTACAGAAAATTCTGTCCCACATCCATTTAAGTTTCAAGCGGTGAAGCATCTTGAACCTCCCTAAGAAAATTATTTTGAAACCCCGTTGTCCGGGAAACTTCTATTCAGGGCCTCATTTTTTTCCCTCTTTAAAATCTCTCCCCATTCCTTCATTATGCCCCCTTGTATCAAACGCCACAGTCTCCCCTCCCGGGTGTTTACACCATGCCCCATCTCTGCAAAACCTCATCTGAAAGCCCCTGGTAGTCGTCACTTAGCAAAGCTGCATGGATTTAGCTCCTTTAATCTTTTCTGGTAAATTAATCCCCCAAGCGCCTTCATTACTTATGTTGCTTTTCCCCGAATTCCCTTCAATTTGCCGACGCCTTTGCAGTACTGCTGAGCCCAGCACCAAACAAGATGTCCTACAATGTGAGGCTGTTGTGCCTGGGGGGGACTGTCACTCAGCATTTCTTTGGTGCTTCCCTCCAAAAATCTCAAAATACTCGACCAACTTCCAGCTACCACAGGTGTCTCCTGTGCCCAGTTCTGGGCCCCCCTTCACCCTGTGCTAATACACCACAAGGACTTTCCTGTGGGAGGGACGCCGGGAGTCATTCTCCCAGATGGACAGTGTTGGAAGGACCATGACGACTCCGAAAGTCTAAGCCAAATTTGGGGTAGGGGGTGTGCATGCCTGTGTTTCTGGAGCAAGGGGCCATGGCTATATGTGTTTGCATTTTCTTTTTGGGAAATGTTCATCAAGTGGCACTGCAGATTGGATAAATACCAGTCTGGTCCCAGGCCTCTCATTTTATCAGTAGAGAAACTGAGGTCCAGAAAGGGAACACATCTCAGCCCAGATTCCTCAGCTTTGTACTAGCAAGACCTAGATTAAAATTAACGTTTGTAGGGATAGAATTTTGACCCTGTTTGTAGGTAACCTGGCTGAATTGTAGACCAAGGAGCTTCGTGAGTGGGCTGGGGCACTGTTGGTCCGTCCTCACTTGGTGGCTGCCCTCCCTTCTTTAGCCCATTGGTTACCACAGCTCCAAAGACCCCATGAAGTCAGCAGCCTTGCACCCCTTCCCCCAGACCAGTAAGTGAATACCGTCCAAAGGCTGAGGGCACTTCCGTCCGTCTTTCCATGCAGTGCTACCCCCCTCTACTTTACCCCAGAGGCTCAGACGAGCCCTCCCCGTCATTCTGTTAGGATCCCCATCATCCCGCTTGGATCCCATCATCCTGCTAGGATCTCCATCATCCCGCTAGATCCCATCATCCTGCTAGGATCCCATCATCCCGCTGGGATCCTATCATCCCGCTAGGATCCCCATCATCCCGCTGGGATCCCCATCATCCCGCTGGGATCCCGTCATCCCGCTAAGATCCCATCATCCCGCTAGGATCCCCATCATCCCGCTAGTATCCTGTCATCCCGCTGGGATCCTGTCATCCCGCTGGGATCCCGTCATCCTGCTAGGATCTCCATCATCCCGCTAGATCCCATTATCCTGCTAGGATCCCATCATCCCGCTAGATCCCATCATCCTGCTAGGATCCCATCATCCCGCTAGATCCCATCATCCTGCTAGGATCCCATCATCCCGCTGGGATCCTGTCATCCCGCTAGGATCCCCATCATCCCGCTGGGATCCCGTCATCCCACTAGGATCCCATCATCCTGCTAGGATCCCATCATCCCGCTAGGATCCCATCATCCCGCTAGGATCCCCATCATCCGTCATCCCGCTGGGATCCCGTCATCCTGCTAGGATCCCATCATCCCGCTAGGATCCTCATCATCCCACTAGGAACCCATCATCCTGCCAGGATCTGGCTTCTATTGCCCCCAGGCTCTCTGGCAGCCATCACTGCTTCCCTGGTTTCTCCAGGTCTCAGGCCATCTGTGTGGGATCACTTTATACCTCCCATGCTTTTTCTCTGGGTTGCAGACAGTTAGCAGGTCTCAGTAAGGACTCACTATGACAATGGAAGATCTCATGTGGTTGGCATTGGGCTGGCCGAGGCAGCCCAGGGCCCAGCCTCCCACCCTCTCTCCCCATTGATTTCAGGTCTCCATTTGTCCACATCTGAGAAAATCTTCCGTTTCCAGGACACAGGGCTGCTCCTGCGGGTACTTGGGAGCCTCTTCCTTGGCGGGATTCTCGCCTTTGGTTTGGGCTTCTCTGAGTTCCTCCTGGTCTCCAGAACCTCCAGCCTCACTCTCTCCATTGCTGGCATTTTTAAGGTACAGACTCGGGGGTGATGCCATTCCTGTCTTAGAGGGGGAGCCCCCAGGGATTTCTCACTAGCAGCTCCTGCACCTCAGGGCCCTTCAGAGAAGAGACGGAAGTGCCCCATTAGGTGCCAGGCACTTTGCTGACTGCTGTGCTGGCCCCTCCTTCCGCCTTGACCACAGCCCTTTGAGAGGGTGTGATCACCTGCACCCCACAGACAGGGACACAGATGGAGAGCCAGCTCTGACTCCCCTAGGCCTGGGGCGCATTCACATTTTACCTTGACTGCCAACTCTGGCATTGGGCAGTGGCCTGGAGCTACAGGTTGAACAGCTCGTATCCAGACTCATCAGGAAAGAGTTCCATGATTGACTGGCGGTGTCCTCCAGGGCCACAGCCAGGGCTAGTGAGACCCTCAGCAAGCACCCCTGTGGCCAACCTCGCTGTACCTCTGCCTCGCAGGCCTGTCCTTCCCTCTCACACCTCTTCTCACTTCTGCCTCTTCCTCCCACACATTTACTTTTCTCTTTGGCCAGGCACACACGAATACCAAAACAGTGTTGCCTAAACCCAGAAATGCAGGCCTCTCTGAGTGTCTTCTGGGAGCCGGCCGCATGCTGAGGCATGGCTGTGGTTCTTGGACAAATGGCCTCGCCAGTCCCTTTTGCAGTCTCTGTTTATAGAGAGCCCCGGGACCAGTGTGTGTCTTCAGCCCAGGGTAATGCAGCATTCTCACGCAGAGGCTCAGGGCTCCCTTCTGTAACTGCCTTCTGGGGCAGCCATCCTTTATCCTTGTGGATACAGCACGATCTGGACACCCTGGTCCCCAGCGTGGGATCCGGTTTGCCTCTTTTATTCCTGACAGAATTCCATGACAAGCACCTCTGTTGCATCTCACAGAGGGAGGCTGGTGGGACAGCGCCGCAAGCCGGCAGGGTCCCCTGACCTCTCTGCCTGCTTGGGCCCAGGATTTCAGACAGATCTTGATCTGCCCACCTGAGTGTACCCAGTACCCCCACCTTCCACCCTCCTGGCCAAGTGGCCAAATCCTCCTGTTGATCACACTCCCTCCTGCTTCTCTGCCCCCAGGAAGTCTGCACTTTGCTGTTGGCAGCTCATCTGCTGGGCGATCAGATCAGCCTCCTGAACTGGCTAGGCTTTGCCCTCTGCCTCTCGGGAATATCCCTCCATGTTGCCCTCAAAGCCTTGCATTCCAGAGGTAACCCGGAGCCCCTTCCAGAAGCCTCTGTTTTCTGTTCTTCTCCCTGTGACTCTTAGTGATTCTGATGCAGGAAGTGTGCGCGGTGGCTCTGCTGCCGTCTCTTCTCTAGGAAGATACGGGGGTCATCTCCAGAGTGGGTGGGTGGGGCCTGGGTGACTCAGCACACATGCAAATCAGAGCAAACCAAGAAAACAACGACTGGGCCTGTAACTGTGATCTCTCTCTATCCCAAGGTGATGGTGGCCCCAAGGCCTTGAAGGGGCTGAGCTCCAGCCCCGACCTGGAGCTCCTGCTCCGGAGCAGCCAGCGGGAGGAAGGTGACAATGAGGAGGAGGAGTACTTTGTGGCCCAGGGGCAGCAGTGACCGGCCAGGGCAAATGGCTTAGAAGCAGGCCGCTCTCCAGCCTGCTGCCAGCACTCACTGTGCTCAAGCCCCCGGGGCTCTTCATGGTAGCTGGGAGCTGTGGACGAGAGTCAAAGGTGGTGGGGCCAAGCCAGGGACTCCTGACTCTTGTCCCTCCCTTCAGAGCTTGGTCACACAAGGGGCGAGCTCCAGGCCAGCCTGGGACCTGGCCAGAGCTGGGCCCAAGCTGCGCTGGAGTTGGAGTCACTGCAGGAGAGGGGAGTGGGCTGGTTCTTCCCAACCACTTCCCAGGCTCTGACAGCCAAGACTCATCTCCAAGGCACCGCAGCTTTCTAAGGGGACTGGGTTTGGACTGGGTTGTGGATCTCGAGGGGCTGGAGCCTCATCACCTGGGTGGCATCTTTTCTCAGAGAGCAGGTTTCTTTATAGTTTGGAAATAAATGGTTCACGGTCCACTGGCCACCTCGTGTTGCTGGAGATGGGGCAGGGAGGGACAGTGTGGGCCTGGCCTCTCCTTTCCTTTCCCTGCCTGGGGCCTTCTTCAAATGACTGGTCTTAGGCCAGGCCTCCTTTGTTTCTTGCTTATGTTGGAACACCAGTGCCCTCCGCATGGGACCCCACTGCACCTGCTGGCGGGAAATAAACGAATATTTACTGAGCACTGCATTCTGGAGACTTTACATGTTTTCACAGCCTAGTTTGAATCCTGGCTGCCACTAGCTGTGTGACCCTAAGCAAATGACCTAACGTGTCTGTGCCGTAGTTTTTTAATCTGTGAACTGGGGATAATAATACCTATCTGAGAGTCCTTTTGAAGATTGAGTCATTATTAGTAACAGATTAAATGCTATATAAGCGTTTCTTTTAATCCTTTTAACAACTAAGAGACTAAAGCCTGGAAAAGATAAAGAGCTGCCTAAGTGGCTGGGCTGGGATTCACATCCAGGTCTGTGTACCTCTGCATGCACGTGCCACACGTGACGTCCACACTGCCTCCTGGAAGGGTTTATGGGCCCCGGGGCCTGGGCCTTCCACTCCTCCTTGGCCAAGTCCCACCTCTTCTCTAGACTACAGGCCTGTCTCAAATGAGGAAGGGAGGGGGCAAGACCCTGATTCTGATGTGCTGTGGACTGAGTCTGCTGTAAGCTGGTTCCCGGGCCTTGGGAGACCCCACCAGCCATTGGAGACTGCTTTCCAGGCGCAGTGCTCCTAGGCACTCACAGCAGGTGGCGCCATTGCACCACACTGGCTCCCAGAGCCCAGCCGCCCTGCCACAGCTCTCCAGACACAGGCAGAAAAGGGGTGCTTGGAAGAGGACAGTGGGTGTCCATGGGTGGGGACAAGGATGGGACTTGTTCTAAAATTGTTTCCACAGGTTGGAGTCACTAAAGCTCGCTCAGTTAAGCGCAGGAGAACTTTAATACTTTAAAAATGGGTCTGCAAACTTCCTGTAAAGGGCCAGTTAGTAAGTGTTTGGGGTTTGGGGAGCATAGCATATGGCATCTGTTGGAGCTGCTCTGCTATTGTAGCACAAAAGCAGCCATAGACGACACAGACCCAGGGTGTGGCTGTCCCAGTGAAACCTCATTTACAAAAGTAGGATCCAGCTTGCCGGCTGAAGTTTGCCAGCCAGAGAACCCTCAAGAATTCTCGAGTCCAACTTCCACTTCTGCAGCAGGAGGCTAAAGCCAGGAGGGGGCGGTGACTAGCCCGAGGCCCTCAGAGCTTCCGTGCTCAGGAGGAGTCAGACCGAGATCTGTCTCTAATTCAGATTCCCAGCACAGACTCAGCAGGCGGAGGTGGAGCACCAAGGGCGCTCGGAAGCGGCCCGTTATCTGGCTCCTGCACCTCTGCCCCCCTTGGATTCCACAAGCTCAGAGGCCAAGATTAAAGGAGGCTCTTGCTCCAGCTGGATGACGTGGGGAGAGCCAGCCAAGGAGGGGGGCCAGGGCCGCCTCCGTCTGAGAGGCTGCTTGGGATGCAGGCCGCTTGGGCAGTGGGGGGAGCCTGCCAGAGCCCTGCTGGCTCAGGTGGATGAGAGCTTCCTGTCTGTTCCCCCACTGCCCGCCTCCCAGCACATGGAGAAAGCGCTGCTGTCTGGTGCAGTAATTACAAGGTGCAGAGCTGGGGCCCTTACCTCGCACATGTTGGGTTCAATGACAGCCCTTCATTTAGCAGCAATTACCAGTCAAACCTAAAGGAGGGCTCCTTCTCCTCCCGCACCCGGCCCACCCAATCACCTGGCCTCACAGGCCAGACAGCGTCCACCTCGGTACTGAGCCCTAGAACCACCCATGCTGTCTGCAGTCATTGCATCTCAGGGCTGCAGCATCACCATGGCAACGCGGTGCTTGCACAGGTTGAGGGAATCTGAGGATGTGACTTGTCTCTCCAAGGCTGTGGTGTCTGTCCCCACACAGCCCCCCAGCTCCGAGGCTTCTGCAGAAGGGGGTGGAGAGAGGAGGGCTGACCTGCAGATTCGAGTTTTAAGTGCTTACATGCCCACCGCCTCTCCCAGGAGCCCACAGTGGAAGGAAGGTTAATGCCCCCAATATGTGAGGATGTCCATGGTTGGTGCTGTGGTGGCGGTGAGAACAGGCTGCAGTTTGCCTGTGGGAGGGACCTGAGCCATCAGGCAGGCCCCGGCATACCTTCATCTTCACTCCAGTACCCTTTTCTGCCTTAAGGGCTCAAGGGATTGTCTCCATCTGTTTCTGCTCTATCCTGCTGTGAAAAACCTGAAAATCCCAGTGGCTTAAGAGTAGTTAATATGGCACCAAGAGAATTCTCATGATACTTGCTGCAGCTTCCTGCATCACACACTAGTGATGGACTGAGGGTGGGGACTCCCAGGCCATCCATTTAGGTCGACAGCATTCAGTGAGTGCTGGCCACATGGCAGACACTGCTGGACTTGGGGACAGAGACATTCGTTTTTGGAGTCAGCGTTCCTCCCCGCCCAGGGAAGTGATGAGGCGGTGGGCTGGGGAATGGGGAAGAAAGAACAGAACAGACTGTTCACGGGGCACCATCTAGGCCTTTGCCATAGGTTATTTAATCTGTAACAGCCCGGTGCAGTAAGGACTGATTGTATTTCTTTCCTGGCTGTGGCAACTAAGCTCCAAGTGGGTAAGCATAACAGTGGCTAAAGATACAGCCTCCAGATGCCGTAGACTGAGAGACATGTCTCTCTGTGCTGTGATTAGCTGTGTGCTTTTGGACACGTTGTTGATCTTCTCTGAGCCTGTTTCCTTGTCTCTACAGAAGGAATAATAATATATATACCTGAAGGAAGCTACTGTGAAGGTGAAATAAAATAATGTAGGTAAAGCACACAGTGCTGGGCTCATAGTCATCACCACTCAGGAAGTGGAGCGGGAAGAATGTCACATAACTCGCCCAGATGAGAGGAGGAGCCAGTGTTGGAGCTCTGGCCTTCCGAGATCCCCATCTCTGTTGCAATGTCTGGTACTGAGCATGGACCTAACAGATGCTTTTTTTTTTTTTTTTGAGATGGAGTTTTGCTCTTATTGCCCAGGCTGGAGTCCAATGGCGCCATCTTAGCTCGCTGCAACCTCCACCTCCCGGGTTCAAGCAATTCTCCTGCCTCAGCTTCCCAAGTAGCTGGTATTACAGGCACCCACCACAATGCCTGGCTAATTTTTTGTATTTTTAGTACAGGGAGCTCTAAAGCTGAGACGCCTTTCAGAGTTGTCCCAAGTTGGGGTGTGAGGTTCATGGCTTTACACCACAGCATTTTTTGTATTTTTAGTATTTTGTATTTTCGTATTTTAGTACATGTTGGCCAGGCTGGTCTTGAACTCCTGACCTCAGGTAATTCACCTGCCTCAGCCTCCCAAAGTGCTGGGATTACAGGTGTGAGCCATCGCGCCTGGCCCAGATGCTTGTATTTTGTAGGAATTTCCACTAGTGGAAACTAAAGTGGGGGATTTTACAGGTTCTAACTTCCAAATGACTTGCCCTGTAAGAAGGGGCTGCTCCCTCCCACTGCCACCCATTCCTGCGAGTCTCCAGTCTCCCAGCCATCCCATGGAGTCTTCACCCTAACTGCACAGCCCTGACATCAGCCAGGTCCCTTCACCCCTGCTTTGTAGTAACCAATTTGCTTGACGTCTGTTCCCATGGTTATTTAGTTTCGTTGGCAACTAACATATTTCCCAGAAACAAGCCAGCAGCCCCCAGTCCCACCACCATCCTGCTGGTGGGGCCGTCTTCTTCTGGATGTCGGATGAGAACTCTCCTGCTGGGGAACAACAGAAGGACAGAACACAGAACCAGAGGAAAAGGCATTCAAATGCATCCCGTCAGTGTTTCTGGACCATCTACAGTGTGCCCTGCCCAGTGATCGCTGCTGGAGATATAGAAGTCATTAAAACAGTCTCTGTCCTCAAGGAACTTCTGTAGGGCTTTTTATTTTATTTATTAGAGATGGGGTCTTCCTGTGTCTTCCAGGCTGGAGTGCAGTGGTACAATCGTAGCTCACTGTGACCTTGACCTCCTGGGCTCGAGTGATCCTCCCACCTTAGCCACCTGAGTTGCTGGGACTGCAGGCCTGTGCCACCATGCCTGGCTTCTGCAGGGCTTTTTAATCCAGTGGATTCCCTGGGAAGTAGATTCAGAGATGGAGATTAGAGTGCAGGACATTTATTAGAAAGTGGTCTTGGAAAAATTACCTGTGGAAAGGAGAAGGTGGCAGGTTAGGGCAGAGGGGAAGTTAAGCTTCACGGCAGTCCTGCCAGAAGCCTCAGCCAAGCCCACAGGGAGCTCTAAAGCTAAGATGCCTTTCAGAGTTGTCCCGAGTTCGGGTGAGGGGCTCATGGCCTTACACCACAGCATTGACCTGTCATTGGGAGTGAGCCTGCCCCTGGAAGGAGATGTGACTTTGGATAAGGCAGTGTCTTCAAGACAACCCCCAAAGAAGGCTGACTGCTAAGGGCTGTCTGTTAGCCGAACTCCCAGCAACTGAGGAGATAAGTCCTTGACTCCCAACTGGAGATCTCAACACCACATCACAGTGTCTACCACAACCAGGGTCCACAGTCTGGCTTCAGGGATGACCAAGAATCTTTGAAGAAGAAAGCAACATCCAGCATGTGTGTGCATATACATGTTTTTCTGGGAGACATTGACCTTGACCCCCAAAAGATTAAGAATCATTGGTCTATGGAAAGCCAGACTCATTCAAAACCATGTGATCAGAGATGCACATGGTAGTTGCTCAATAAATCTAAAAGGACAGATGGATGGATAATCGATGGATGGGTGGGTGGATGGACAGATGGGTGGATGAATGGAGGGGTAGATGGATGATGGATGGCAGGATGGATGGATAATGGATGTATAGATGGATGGGTGGATGGATGGGTAGACGGATGATGGATGGATGAATGGGCGGGTGGATGGACAGATGCCATAATAGTTGAATGTATGGGGGCCGCAGGAAAGGGAGCAACCGTCTGGGTCAGGAGAAGAGCAGAGCTCCAGGAAGAGCTGACCCTTTTGAATTGAGTCTTGAAGACTAAATAGAAGTTTGCTAAGCAGGCAAAAGAAGAAAGGCGTACCCTGCAAGGGGAAAGCAGATGCGAAGGTGCAGAGATGTGCGTGAGCTTCAGGATGGTGTGTTGGGGTGCTGTGAGAATTTGTTC